AAGCAGAACAAATCCTGCAAAGTTTTAAGCTTTCGTGATTAGCAATTTATCATAAAGCTCTTCGGGAAGGTCAGTAGACAAACAAGCCTTTCCCAACGCTGACGTCACTTACTGACAAACACTTACAAAAGTACAAGAAAGAAGCCGCAAAGGAAGTATGGTTGCTTTTGAGCAAATTAGGAGTCAAGTCATGTTAAATCTTGTACCGTATATAAACTTGCTCTTAGCATTTGAGGAATTCAGAGAATTTTATCAAAAAGCTTCAGGGTTTTTATCAAAAAGCTTTTAAAATTTGGATGCTGTGAGTTACACACAAGTGCCAAATATAATGTAGTAGAACATTTATTGGTACAACGTCAGTGACAAGGCGAAAGGTCTGATTTTGTTGACGTACCAGCTTGTTCTTCTGATTCATATAGAGACAATTATTAATGGAACGCAGTAATACTTTGTAACCCGTTTATAAGCATTTTGTAAGTTATAAGTACGGCAAAAGTGGTACATATCCCCCAACGGACTCCTGCTACTTATTCAATTACATTTAAATGATAACTTACTCTTAGTTTCAGTTGTTCCATCTGGGAATTCCATGGCAACTTTCTGTCTAAGACGGCTCTCAAATATTTAATATAAGTTTTGCATTGAGGTACAGAAGTATTATTGTATAAAACCTGAAGATCGAGAGGATGCGACACACAATGAGAAAATCATGGAAGCGATCTTTCAAACATTCTCTTTCATGTTATTGAACGGTACTAAGTACTCAGCGTCTTCCTGTCCTCATGTTAGGGTGTCTCATAATTTCATCTGAACACCACTTTTTGTGGTGGAGGACATATCTCTAAATCATCAGCAAATATGAATACATTTACATCCTAATCATAATGGTCGGATTAAGATCTTTAGACACCTTAAAACCAGTGTAGCCGCGCGTCGAAAGAAACATTTCTCAGAACCACCATTTCCACAAAACCTATGTAGCTAGGTTGTTATCTTCACTCAGTAAACAGACATGAACGCCAAACAGGAATCAGTTATCGCTCAGATTGTCGTAAGAGACGCTTGGTTTTAAATTCCGTGTTGTACCGTTCGCTTTACTCTTTTACTCGCTCTTTTTAACATTTTAAACTTGTTCGTTGTTATGGAAGATAATAGAAAGGTGGTGTAATTAAGTTTTTCACTTTAATATCGATACGGGCGATTCTGAAAACTAAACAGAAGAAAGTCCAAAGAGGTTTATTTATTTATTTAATTATGGCATAGACCTCCACGGCTATCTGCCTGTTCTCTGAGGGCTCTTGAATAAATCATACAGAGAGATTAGTGATAGTCATTAAAGTTGTTCATGAATCACGTACCTATTACGTAAATGAGAATTAAAAGAGAATTATGTGATTATATTTAATACTGTAGCTCTTTAGTATCAGGGTTCCATACTAATTTATGCATTATTTACTTTAAGAACAGAATAACGTCCGTTTAACAGATAAAAACTCTGGTTACAGCAATCGATTACATCAGTAACAGCCAAATTCTGCTGGAACTGATGTCCCGGCTACCTAACCGGAAGAAAAATATTCTGTTTCTTATAAATATAAGGAAAATATAAATAAATGGATAAATTTAACTATAAGTATTTTTACTAAGCCTAAAAAAATTACTCTAAGCTAAATTAAATTGCTGCGAAACCGATGGCCGGTAAGGAAATTTTACTAACTACAAAGTGAGTGGTAGGTATAAAAAGGTTGACTACCCCTGGAATAAGATGTATATTAATGTATGTATATACAAATGTTTTACATCATGCATAATAATAAATTCATAAATTTGAAATAGTGTGTAGGATTTACAATAAAAATATAGTTTCTAATGCATTTGCAATTAAAAAAGTATTTCATTAATAACATAAAATAATAGTATACAAATTTAATGAGCATTCTCATCATAAGCAATGCTTTCCTTTTTGATGCAACTCTGATGTTGTTTACTATGTCGATGATTATGCAATAAACAATTTAAATGATAAGTAATTGGTAAAAATTAAAGTCGCGCATATATAAACGGATTTTTAAAAATTATCCACCTTAAATTTAATTTAAAAAATTATGTTATATAACAATGATAATATTTCTACGCAGTACGCTGTAACACTTTTCCAGACACTAGGAGTAGTACAACTTAAATTTTTTTTTTTTGCATATTTGTACGAATGTTTATCTTGCAACTATGCCAGGACTGAGAAATAAATTTAGCAAAAATGCCATCACTCGCATTAAACTTTTTCTAATAGTTAATATTAGAAATCAGTTTAAAAAAGAAAATTAAAAAGTACATACTGGATTGCCATCCATATATCCTGCAATTTGCTTTAGTTCTCTATATGTTCTTCTTTACATATTTTGTCATTTGTCACAATCTGGTGAATAAAACGAAGTGAACACCTCAACAACATTCTCATCAAAATTCAGGAAAGAATTTTTTTAAATATGTAAGTTTCCTCCAGAGTGTCACATCACGATAGAGCAGTTTCTTAATGAAGTAATAAGTCTTTCTATTATTTTTTCCTAAAATAAATCTTGGAAATAAAATCAATAAAAGGGGATTGTTTGGCAATTAAAATCTCCTTCTTTAAAACTGATGCGCAATGTCTCTTTCCCATAGCAGTTTTAGGATCTCTTATCCTTTATTTCGGAATCTATTTCGCTCTCTCTTTGGTACTTCTAATTTAGGACTTCAGAAACATTTGTATTGCCTCAATTTACCACGTGGAATAAATCGTTTCGCTGCTTGCAATAAAATATTGTTGCATTAACAGACATGTCTGTCAGAGATTTCACTAATATTAAAGCCAGAGAGATCCAGACTTTTTTTATTTATCCCGGAAGGATGACCAGTATGCTCTTTGAAAACTCCATGAAATTCTATCGTTCTGAAAAGAAAATTCTATTAGATTTTCAACTACAATTAAAACTGCACGTTGGTCAATATCCAAGTCATCAATCACTTTTCTTTCCGATGAGTCCATCATGTCAGTAGAAACTATAAGTAAATCAGGGTTTGTTTCCCTACTATTGTATTGTAATGAATAAATGAATATGATCGTCAGTTGAAAATAAGTTCTAAACTGGATGTATATATAAACTTCTCGACAAATTCTCCAGCGGCTTCTGTGCTAAGTAATCCCACCTTTATGATCGCGTATTAAAAATCTCTGATAATACTCGTTTTCTTCGTATGTCCAAGCCATCAAGATTTCATTTATTCAGAGATGGATTATACGCTGCTGATAGTTGACAGTATTTTTTATCCTTTCAAATATTTGCCTTTACAATCTCAATCTTTTCTATCTTAGCTTTATAATGTTCAAGACAAAACTGTAATTTATGACAAAACTGTAATTTATAACAGCCCCGTAAGTTTCTGTTTGAGTTTGCTTATTTCTCTTTCTTATTTCTATCATAATAAAAGGCTTATGTAATAAATCTTCCTGAAGTGCATCCTTCCAAAATTAATTCTTGTCACATGGTTCTTGTCACATGCAGTAGGATGATACATATGCTTACATAACAGCAAAAATGAAAAATGAAATCTTTCATATAATAACCATAAAATCCAAACTTCATTAAACAATAAGACGTGAACGATAATTAGTAATAAGACGACACTATTATTGTGAATTACCTTTAGTAAGAATTAAATTTGCTTCACTATTCTTATTCTAACATCACTCACATAATCTTGTTCTCAAACCTACCTTTATACCTAAACCACTAAATCAAACGAAGACGTAATTTGCTATTTCTCCTTTATTTACTGCAAACTCTAATGCTATGAAAGTGTGAAAGACATTACAGTTATTGAAAACTAGGTGGTACTTTTGCAGTTATTTAGGTACGCATATTTGCTTCAATAATACTAAGCCAAAAATAAATTAATGTTCTGACTAACGATGACTATTTCTCCTCAGACTAAAATTTTTGTCATACATATTTCACTCACATGTATATATATATTTCATTTTTTAAAAATAGAAATAACAAAACTAAATTAATATCTCTTTCTCACGGCGAACATGCGAAGAAAAGAAAAGAAAAATGCCTTTCCTTCACCTACAAAGGGAAAAACGCTTCATAAAAAATATCTTAATTGATCCTTAATTAATGAAGAATGAAGAAACCTAAGACTGTATTCCTGTTAATAGTAATTCATGTATTCTTGTTCTTTTTCGAAGGCTTTGAACTTTTCACAGCCTTTTATGGTTAAAAATTTTAACCAAAATTAAGATTTTATTTAATTTATACAGATTTGTGTAATTTTTATTGCTTTTTGCTATTTGACATGTTTTTGCATGGCATCGGGGCAGCCGCACCTTTGATAGCTCTTGTTACTATTTATTATTATTATCTAAAGGAAACAGTTATTTTAATATAAGTTTATTTATATATTAGCTAATACTGAGATCAGAAATATGACCGGTTAATTTGATTAGCTTTCGTTATTGCTCTATGAAGACGCTAGCCAACAAAAATTAGTTTCCATCTTAGGTATTCATTTTGCAAAGACATTTAGTTTCCTATTTTACAATTTTTCATCTTTTAAGTTTTTCACTATGAAGGATCAATTAAGTTATTCTTTGCAAAAAAATTTTTTTTCTTTTCTTTATATGTCAACTGAAGAAATTTTTTTTCTTTTATTTACTCTCCATAAGGAGAAAGCATTAATTTACAAGATTCGTTCTTCTTATTTCAGAGAAATGTTACCTGATTTACATTCATTGCAGAAGCTACCAGCATGCCTTTAATGAAATTTTTTTTAATTCACCTTCTCTCTCCAGTAGTAACACATATATATATATTGTATATAAATTTTAAACAAGTAACTCAGTTTTTAGTGTTTTCATTATAATGAAAAGCTGTTTTGTTTTGATTTCCTCTGGACACTTTAAAAAATATTAAATTTTAAATTAGTCCATTAATAATGGAATTCGAAAATTTTCTTACCCCTAGTTCCACAACCAGGACATCAATTACGCTTCCGACAACAGTGATGAAGTCAAAAGTATTCCACGGGTCTCTAAAGAAATTCTTTGAAAACAAACTAAAGATTATTAAAAGGCAAAAACTATTGAAATATACTGAAATATAACATATTTTGTATTTATTAAAAGAAAAAAAAGTTAATTATTTTTAAAAATGAATCTCAAATTGAATTAAATGTAACAATCAATTAAAAACAAAACAAAAAATAAAATGATTTTTAAGCACATTAAGTTCTTTTTTCAAATTAATAATTTAATTGAAAAGTATTAAATTCTCAATATTATGTAGGGCCGGCGCCAGAGCCGATGCAACTGCTTCATTAAAGCTGAAGTATTTTCACGTAATCGAAACTGAATGAAATATAAAGCGAGAACACATGGTATTTAAGAAATAGCAAGTAAACAACATATATTCATTAGTTTGGGAGTAAACAAAATCAGTTTAATGTTATGTCAAGTTATCCAAAACAGCAACATACATAAAAGACTATTAATCTGTTATATAACTTCTGTTGTCTAGAAACAATTTTAATAAACATGTAAGATGTCTCCTTTTCCAGAAATTATGCATTTTCTGTAATCGTTTCTAACATTTTCATGCATTATAGGAATCCTAGCACCAATGCTGTTTTACTGTTCGAACATAAAAGTTTTTTTTTTCGGGGGGGGGGGGGGGTCAAAATTTTTAGATTTTATGAATTATACTAGGCGGCAAAGGTCTAGCATCGGCCCTAATAATAAATACAAAGTATCAAAAGATTTAAAAATCAGTGGCAGATTCTGCTGCACGTGTAAAGTGATCATAACTCGCCTTTCCAATGTTGAGGTTAACAAAAATGCATCGCATAAAACAAAAAGAAATATGTTTGAAATGAAGTTTGAGAAAATATTAACATTATCTCTTTTCCAATACAAAAATTTTAAATATTTAAAAATATAAAATAATTTTAATTATAAACCTTAAAAATACATAGGTTAAGACAACACCAAAATTAAAAAAAAATATTAGTGGAAATTATTTTACAGATAGGATGTATATGTTTATACATAAAAAGATGATCAAAGATTAACCACATTACTTAAAATCACTGAAAAAATTTTATTGCTGCATACTCTAATACACAATATTTTAACCATGTTTAAATAAAAGTACATGAAATAATTCTACGTAATTATGTATAAAACATAAAATTATTTATATAAAACTTTTACATATTTCTAAGTATTCATCAAATATAAATCAATACTTTTTATTTATTCAAGAATGATTAAATACTGAACATGTTTACACATGTTAACTAAAATGAACATGCTGATTACCGACTAGAATAAAATGTTAATGTATAAAAAGGGAATGTTTTGTAAACTCAGTCCCTCTCCCCCCAAAATAAAGTAGCCAAAAGAAGCACACATATTACTGACTAAAATAAAAACATTAATTATCAATGCATAAAAACACACAGTCACACAGTTTTGTACACACAGTCAGCGCGACTATCTTCAAAATTTTAATACCAAATGGCTGGAAATTCAAGTATTAAGTTGTAGAGATTTATATTTATTTTAACTAATAATTTAAAGTTTTATTTGAAACTTTCCTATAAGCCTTCAATCCCCTAATGCCAGTGCCAGAATAGTTAAATGTTGTAGTGCGCGTAAATGGAAATTTTTCTATGTCGAAGGAAGTAGTTAAAAGCCGAGTTTCGGTAGGGGAAAGAGAGAGTTAGACTCTAGCTGCGGTCTCTGCCGTAGGTACGTCTGCTCATTGCTGGTTCAAGGGGCTTAATTTGCACTGCTTTGCTGCCACTAGCTTAGAAGGGGGTTGAAGTTCGCGATCTCGCTGAGCCCTGTAGGTTAGTTTAGCACTTGTTAAACATTTCAACTTTTAATTTTCAATTATCTGACTTTCAGCTACCACCAAGTAGAGGCGAAGTTTGTTAGCGTCGAGTTGACGCATTGTAAATTTTAAAGAGTTAATAAAGGGTTTGAACCCTTCTTCTGTGTAGTTTCCTGCTACCCCTGTATCCAGATAGAAGTTAACTCACCTGTACTCTACATTGGCACCCGAATTAATAAGAACCCAAAAGAAAATGGCCAACGAAGAAGTATCTCCACAAGGCTCAGAAGTGGCAGTCCGATGATGCACTCCCCGTTAGATGGATTTGGCTTCCTAATACAGACGATGAGGGCGGCAATTAAACCAGCAGATGGCAAGAACTCCCTAACCTCCTTTTTGGAAGCCCTCGAGATGCACTTCCAATTGTATCCGGTACCGGAAAGGCAGAAAGTAGTTATTGCTTCGAGTGCCCTCCGAGGACAGGCGGAAGCTTGGTGGAAATGAATTGGGAAATTCCTACTTGGCGAAGTTGTATCACTCACCTATATCTTCGACAATTTTAAAGGGGCACTCCTAAAAGCGTTCCCGATAGTTGAAGATCGTGCCAAGCTTCAAGCCAAATTATATAGCTTCTACCATCGGAGGATTGAAGAACTAACCGAATTTATTCTACGAAAAGTCAAGCTAGTGAATATGCTATACGGTAGAAAACACGACAGTGAAATCATCGAAATCATACTGCCAAGATTATTATCCTCCGTACAGGACCTCGTGGAACTCCGAAATCCTCAAACGCTGCAAGAATTATTCGAGTTAGCCGGAAAGTTTCAGAATCGGCGGATAGCAGAAGAATCAAGATTTCCAACCCAGAGATTTAATCAGCAGTTTACCAGACAGCCAGCCGCGGAAAGAATTAAGTACAGAGGAAAACAGTTTTCAGCTAAGCCGCCATCGAGCAAAAAAGATATGGATGAAGCCAAAACTCACCAGCGTACCCAGAATACATCATGAGTAAAAACACCTTTAAACGAATAGGGGGGGCTGATAATTTGAGGGTTCAGACTCCTTGGGCATCGAAAAATCCCTCTAAAATGTATTTAAATACTGTGGTCGTGAAAAATTCTCAATTACATGTAATACAGGTCCTTTTAAATAATATTCCCGTGGAAGCACTCGTGAATACCGGTGCAGAGGGGAACTTCTTAAATCAAAATTTTTATTATAAATATTTTAGAAAAGTAAAATTATTTAAAAATAACATGACGGAAATACTAGCCGCTCAAGGAAAAGTGTGCGAATGTATCGGGAAACTTTCGCTTAATGTGTAACTTAAGGACGAAAACCTTAAAATCCTATTTTACGTAGTGAAATACTTGCAGAACAAAGTCATTCTGGGAACTCAATTCTCTAGGGCCGCAAATGCAAGAATTGATTTTTCAACTAATTCAATTACGTTGGATATGGAGCTAAGGGTGGTGGAAGCTGCTGAAAAAATTTCAGAAATCGACCTCCAGGCATTTAAAGCAAGATGAAAGAGCCAAGCTGTAAGAAATTGTAAGTAAATTTTCTTCATTATTTTCTGATAAGCCTGGAAACACACAGATAGTAACTCATTCTACTGAATTAAAATCTACAGAACCTTGTAAAGCTAAACCTTACAGGTACGACAACACTGTAAAAAAAAAACCTCGAAGTTTACAGACAAAAGTCTTGTATAGTTACAGAAATGCGAACAATTACGAAGGAAATACCTGTAACGAACACAGAACCAAACGAAACTGTAAACTCTACAGGAATTTTTCAAGAAGGTTTTGCTTGGATTTTGTCCGTAGCGTGTGATCACGTGGCTTAAAACGGCTGAGAGAGAAGAAACCAATCAGGAAGAAGGTGGAAAAACAGCTTCTTAGCGGGAGAGTTCAACGAGTCGCCATGTTAGCCATTATTTTTGCTATGGTCGAGGTAAGTTCGAAATAGTGTTTGACGTGTATTTTACTAATTTTATGTAATGTATTTGTTATGTTCTTTACACTATCTATATAATTAAATTCTTTTAATGTTTAGCTTATAATTCTAATGCTCCTAAATAAACCTGTGTTGAATTATTGTTAGAGTTCAAATCACAGAGCTTGTGTTCCATTTAGTAAAATAACAACTTTTATTCGTTACATCTGCAGGTGTCTGCAGTTAAACTGCTCATATTTATAAACAGGAACAAATTTGTTAATATGCTAGTTTAAAAAACAATAAGCTTAATATTAATGTTCTATCTATAGTCTAATAATTTCTCATGTTAAATATTTATGTATCTTTTAAAACATATCGCGTTAGAATATTCATATTTTCATTTTGTTGACAGATGTAACATTATTATTCCATACATGTTATCATTAATCCCAGCGGTGAACTGCGTTAGAATATTTTTCGGAAGCATTATTACACTATGTATATGTTATTATTAATCTCAACAAAAAAAAAAATGAATGTAATATTTTTAAAAAATTCGTGAAAATAACTTAACATAACATTAAAAATAAGAATATTATTTCATTAACACATGCGATAAGTTTCGCCTTAAAAGATTATATAGTCGGATAGCAATTACATATTTGTAAAAGTATTCAATGTATATTATTTTTTGTGTTAAAGATAGTTTTAATCCAGGCCAAGTCTTTACCAACTTATAAAGCATCTATTAAGTTACATTATAACCACATTTACAAAAGGCAATCGAAATGCCGTGACTTTGGCATATTTTTAACTATGATGTAACATACTAGGAACATAAAGAAAAAAAATTCTATTTTTTTCCTTTATGCTTGTTGAAAAGTAAAATATTAATAAAATGGTACAAAACATTCATTCTAGTACTTACAATGTAAATTTACATATAAATTTACTATAAATTTTGGTGCAAAGTTCATTATAAAATGCATTTTGCTAATATTTAATAGTTATAGCATTCATATCAAATCATGGAAATATTAGTAATGATACGTCAGTTGCATATATTAATTTCAATACTCAGCTCAATGCCAAATTTCTTCTATATCTGAGATAACATGTATTTTTTGAGAATAATTCTTTTGTGTCATCTTTTCATTTAAAAATCCTCTTGAGATATATTTTAATGTGAATTATTTTCAAAAATTATCCTCATTAGAATGGAATGTTGTTCTCTTTATTATGTTTGAAACTGCCGTTACGCTAAA